CACTATCGCGGAGTCGTGACTCCTTAAAAGTCAGCTCTGCCATGTTCCGATGGACAATCGGTGAAGCCAAAGCAGACGCCTCGATGGGAATCGGCTACGCGGGACTGATAGCTGCATTGGAGCGTCTCAACCCAAGCAAATCAGCATCCCTCCCTCCTGTACATCCTGCCCCAACCTCGAATCTTCCACCGACACCGCCAAAAGCTAGCAGCCATCATGGAGACCGAGACCCACCAATGATGCCTGCTGCCGGCCGCATGGATAGGCCGTCCCTGAACGAACTTCGTCACGATGAAGGCTTCTCATATCACAGTAACCGTTCGATTTCCCGGCACGACGAGAATGAGCTGGCTTCAGGTATCGTCGAGCTCCACAAGAACTGGCGAGCACCACCAAGTGCCCGCTCTAGCGAGTCAACTAGAGACACGATGTACCACCAGAGTGGCCGCTATCATGATGATCCGGTTTATGAGGAAGTGGTTTCGTCATACTCGGGTCTTTCGCCCATAGAGGAGAAGCTACGTTCTCTCAGCGTCGGTGAGCGCTACGAAGATCACCACTCCGCAACCAAGGTCGATTCTCTCGTGGCTTCCCAAAACTGGGGTCCACGCCAGAGTGGAGGCTCAAAGAACGTTGGCGGCAAGGCGGCGTTGTTCAATGCTGTCGAGCAGAGGAGACACCGGATACTTGAACAATTGCTTGAAGGCGGCGCCAAAGCAGAACCACATGTTGAATCTGCCATGCTTCGGGTCGCTGTTCACAACCAAGACGTAGAGACCCTTGTACTACTTCTGCGATACGGTGCGGATGCCAATGGTTTCGACCGTGAAGGTGTTACACCCTTATTCGCTGCTACCCGTGGCCAGTGCATCGAATGCGCCAAAGTACTGCTGAAGCATGGTGCTGACCCAAATCTGTCGGCGGGACCTGATTCCGAATCACCTTTATCAGCGGCTGCATCCCAGAATTATCTCGACTTCGTCCAGCTGTTCCTCGCTAACGGCGGCGATATCGGGTTTGTCATGGAAAATGGCTCTACTGCGCTCATCTCAGCAATGAACAAGACAACATCACCAAAGTGTGTTGAAGTGATGCTGAGTGCAAAAGGTGATCCTGACGCGAAGAACGGAGAGGGTACAACTCCCTTGTTCCAGGCTATCCAAGCGAACCGCATAGACTTAATGACGGTACTGCTTGACCACGGCGCAAACCCCAACCTCCCTGGTCCCAAGCACCCTCTGTGGCCATCGACCTACAAGCCAAAGGCCCTGCAGCTTCTGCTCCAGCGTGGTGCCGACCACAAGAAGACGCCTGGTGTCATGGAATTGGCTGCTAGTTTGAAGAAGCTTGAATCCATCAAGATCCTCATGGAAGCTGGCGTGTCGCCCAACGTACGGAAGGATAATGTCTACACACCACTTTGCTCGGCCATCCGCGACAACAGCCCAGAGATTGTTACATACCTGCTCGATCACGGCGCAGACCCAAACTTCAATGCGGCAGAATATCCCGCTTTCAAGTGTATCACCCACAAGCGTACACAGTTCCTCCCGCAGCTAGTAGCAGCTGGTGCAGATCTCAATAAGCCGAAGGGCATCATCGAGACTGCTGTAAAGTTTGACGATAAAGATGCGATGATCTACCTTCTTGATCATGGTGTCAACCCCAATGACCGAACACCAGAGGGCTGCACAGCGCTCACTACCGCCATCCGAGAAAACAGGGGTGAGCTCGTCGACATTCTGCTTCAACGGGGAGCGGATCCCGCGATTCGAGGCGAAGACTGGCCCCTCTGCATGGCCGTCAAACGCCCGGAAATCCTCAAGAAGCTTCTTGCCGCGACACCAAACCCTCGTGCCTTCCGCGGTGTAGTGGAAATGGCAGTAGTCGCCAACCAGCTCGAAAGCATTAAGCTCCTCCTTGACGCTGGCGTCAGTGTTGAGGACAAGAACTGCGGTGTCTTCTCCCCCCTTACCACTGCTATTCGCGAGGAGCGCAAGGTCATCGTCCGCTACCTCCTCGATGTTGCCAACGCCGATCCCAATGCTCCAGGCGAGCACCTACCCATTGTCAAAGCCCTCCGCCGCTACAGCGGTGATACGGAAATTATCCAAATGCTACTCACCCGCGGCGCCGATATCAACAAAATGCACCGAGGCTGGAACGCCATCCTGCAAGCTGTTGAGAATGGTGATGCCGAGATTCTGAAACTCCTTCTCGACATGGGCGGACCTCCCGATCTACAGGCCCTTGATGAGTCTGGCCGTGCTGTGATCGACATTGTTACAGAGCGCGGTTGGGAAGAGGGTCTCGGGCTGCTTTTCCCCAACGCGGGTGGGCGGGCCAAGCAGTAGGTAATTCCCCCTCCAGTGCGTCATCCTCTCCTCGATTGCCTTGCATGACAGATAGGCTAACAACAGCCGCAGCAACAACAGTTTCTCTATCAGCGATTGGAAGTGGATGAGCGCAGAGTTGGAACGAGAGATACACAGTCACAGGTATGATGATTATGATGATGTGGCAGATGATTGCAGTCAAGCCTCAAGTATGCTTCTACATGTATGATTCTTCTATCTTGCGCTTAATATCTTTGCTCTATGTTTGGCTGCTCATCTTTTTTGTCACGATTTTGTTCAAGCGGGATGGAATTACCGAGGAGATAATTTTCTTGTTGCATCATGGAGTTGGACACATATACCACAAGCTCACTGGAGCCAAACCATTTCCTTTGTTCATCTAAGTAATTCTACTTTTTACCTATTCATCGCACCATATCAGCCAACATTACTCGGTTTCATTCACAAACACGAGAACTAACTCGTACTCACGTCAAGAATCATCCCGGCAATCGGTCCTATAAAACTTGTAATGCAGGGTGTATCGCGCCATAGACCAAAAGTCGTATCTTGTTTGCAACCCGCCGTCACTCACCCGCCCTGCCGCATCTCACCGTAGCTGTACGGGATCCCGTGCCGTGCTCAGAGCGGGCCAAAAAAAGTAAATAGGCCCATGGGTCCGAACCAATCCCCCTGCGTTGCCCCAACCCAAACCACGATACAAGCAAACACCCCGAACATGCCCCCACCCCCCCTAGCTTGCACAAAAGCAGATATCCAGACATGGGGGAGTACAGTAGTGGTAACAACTAACCCCCCACTTTTTCCATATCTATCCAAACTCTAAACCCACTGTGTACTAAGAACCCCATTACATGCATGCACCACGCACGCAAGCATAACGTCAAAAAAAAAGGAAGTAAGCGCAAACTCACCCGCCTTACCACCCCTCTCCCCCCTGTCAGCAGCAACCCGCACCTCGTATTCCAAGGTCAAATATGCCTCGCATCGCACCCAACCAGTAAACGAACAAACCTCTAAAAAACGTCCCACCCTATGTAATCTCGCGTTAACACACACACACACACACACACACACACACACACACACACACGACTCAGATCAACGCAGCGCAGCGCATATCCGCCCTTTCAAAACCTGCTTCGTTTTGTGGCGCACTCCATATGCTTCATGCTATTGCAACCACGCATACCATCTCCACCTATACCCTCTTACCTCCAACCTGGCCTTATCTCCACATTTTTCTTGCCTGTCTCGTAGACTTGCTCGCCCGGCTCGTGAGCTACCCTTCTCAGCCGCAGCACCCTAGCCCTACCCCAAAACAAAACCCCTCAGACGTACATGCAGCCGTCCCTTTTAAACACACACAATCCAGCGTACACGCATGCATGCCCGCACCCGACAAAAAAAGTCCGCACGTGAGACTGACTAGCCCCGAACTTTAAATTTTTCGCGACCAAGGGCGAGAGGGGGAGGGGGGGTCGAAAAGTAAATCGTCAAAGATTGTCGTAACTACTAGTCAGACTTTGCATGGTTTGCGAAAAGGTCGCGACATGCGGACCGGCGATGTAGCATAAAAGTGAATGAATGAACGTGGAAAGTGGGGATGTAAGGTAGGGGTGCTTTGACGTTAATGCATGCACATGCAGAGCGGCTTGTTAATAACCTCCGATTTTTTGCCCACCCAAAAACGGGTTTGTTTGTTATTAGGCGTGCTGCTTTGGGTAGCAAGCATATTACGCGCGTAAGGGCAGGAAGGGAGTTGATTACTGGATTTGGTGGAGAGTGTAATTTGCTTGCTGATGCTAAGTGACTAAATTTTAATCTTTTGATTGGCGACAAGGGTAGGTGCGTTTGCTTCCTCGGTGTGGGTGAGTTGTTTTGGGTGGGTGGGTGCTGCGTGTGTATGTGCGGATACGGATGCCGATCGACTAGGAAGAGAGCTGGCGGTGACGGATAAGATAGGTTCGGGTGAGAGAAGGCAAAGGGAGGGGGAGGCTAAGCTTCAGAAAGATTGAGGGGTAGTGGCTGGCTGGATTTTTTGGCTAAGGAATTGGAGGCCTGAAGATGATAGGGAGGCGCGGAGGGGAAGATGGCGTGTGCAGAGAAGGGTGCGTGCAGAGAAGGTTCGGTGCGGACAGGGCTGCGGGAAGGGGGAATGATCTTGGAGCCGAAAGCTTGATGACGAGTGGCGCAGAGATGTAGGTTAGGCCTAAGAGCGCCTGATGTCTTTCTCGTATGATAATACGAATAAATCAGATGCTGGAATAGATAAACTTTCAATAATGTAAATTTATTGTAGTAGATATGCTACGTTACATGCTGGTCATTTGCTCTTGATGAGCCCAGAGTCCCTTTCCTCTAAAGAATTACACCGCCAAGAAACCAGAAAGGGTATAAACTATTATCTCGTAAGAATCGAAACGATCGAGAAGTAGTTGGAAGTCGTAAGTCGTAGACCAGCGGGGCATTTACCGTGCCACAAATTTTCGTGAATGAAGGGCGACAGAGACCATAGGTCTCCGGAAAAGCAGGCCGTTACAAACGTGACATGATGAAGAAAGTGCGTAGAACATTTCGATGCAGAAATGTAACAGATATCGAAACAAGGATGACGGCGCGGAAAAAACCGTAGAAATAGCATTACACGCTTGGAAGCCAGAAGGAAAGCAGGAATTGCCCGACGAGGCGCGACGTATACTTTGTCTGGTTCGCAGGCGAGATGCTTACTGCTTGTCTTCTTTGTAGGAAGTCAACTGTTGTGTGTTAACACCAGCTCAACGTCCTCTCAATCACACCGAAATTACTTACTGTTCTCCTTCACCAACTGCGCAGTCTGTCTGACAAAGTTTACACTTGATGCATCTCCAAATCCAACCTCCTTCTCCCAATCGAGATCGGCATCACGCATGGGATTACACTTGCGGTTGTACTTCCATCGGAAGATCTGTTGCACAAAATGCATCCTGTTGTCAATCTCACGACACGCTTCATCCGCCATATCCTGTGCGTCCCTCTGGTCGAGTCCCTCAGTCTGGGCTTTGGTCAACATCACAAGGTGGATGGTCTTCTGCTGGTCCTCAAGCGCCATGCACATGCCCAATACAGCAACGAATGCCGCAAGCCATTTGTCGCATCCTTTGGATGATTTGAGAATTTGTTGTAACTTGTTGAGGACGTTGGCCTGGATAGATCGTTGGAGGCGCGAGAAAAAGTACTTGAGCTGTCGGTTCGTCATGCGCGGCGATGTGAAGTTGTCCACGTAAGAGTTGGGGCCACCATATGAATGCATACGGGATAGTGTTGCGACCTTGGTTTCCTCAGCAATGGTGAGCGTGTGCGACATGATAAAGGTGACAATGATAAGGCGGAAGATTTCGCGGAGGAGCTTGGATTCGTCGTCCGACTTTGGCTTTACGCGCGTCATCAGCTTGAAGAGCTTTTGCTGGAAGTCATTGTCGTCTTCCATCCAGCAGAGCTCGCCAAAAGCGTCGAGGTGATGGTCGACGATGTCGGAAATATACTTGTCGTACTTCTTCTCTTCATTGTGATTGATGTGTACCATGCCTAGTGCTGGACTTCGCTTCTTGATCGGAATTCTTTTCTGTGTCCTTGGGTCGAGCCTGTATTGGATCTGTACTAATAGCTCGTCTCCACGGGGAATAAACTCATAAACCTTGACAGGAATCCTGGGCATGCTGTTCTGGCCGCATGTCATGAAAACCGTGAGTTCATCATTACCCCACTGCTGGATGTATTGGGTGACAAAGCGAGTGAGATTTGAATCTTCGTGCATTTGAGTGACAAGTGAGGGCAAGAAGTAGGGCGACAGGTCGATGAGCTTCATACGGTTGCATCCAAGACCGCAGTCAGCATTGGGCCGCTGAGATCGCTTGAAGCATCGGTCGCAGATGTCTCCAGGACCGCACTTGTCTCTCTGCAACACACAATGCCAGCATGCAACAATCTTACGCATGTCGTGCGCTGCTTTGGCGACCGTGGGCTCCAAGTGAGTGCCCAGAGCTCTGCCCCCAGACTTCGCTGCTAGCGCTTTCTGTGCTGCACTCCGAGACGATTCCGGCTCAGGAGACGCATCGAAACTCATTTCGGGCACGCCACTATGGATGACATGGTCTACTTTGAGAGTGTGCATTTGTGGTTGCTGCAAATTTCCAAATTGTTGCGTCTGAAACTGATCCAACATCATCCCAGAGTCCGAATGCTGGTAAGCTGAGTACATGCTGTCGGAACTTCCTGGACTAGGTGCAGATGGACTGATTTCTGGCTGGAAGGGAGAAGATGGGTGAAGGCCAGTTGACGATGTTGCCGATGGTGACGCTGAAAAGGCATTGTTGATAGTAATGTAATTCTCAGTGAAGAGACTAGAAGTGGCATTGTAGTTGACAAAGTTCTGTTGGTCTGGTAGTGGTGAAGATCCTCTCTGCTGCACGTCTACAGAACCGCGATGCTGTGTGTCGAAGGAGCCTCGATGTTGCGTGTCGAAGGAACCTCGATGCTGCATGTCCAGAGAGCCACGATGCTGTAGTGGCGTCTGTGGGACTGGGTCAAATGATGAAGCGAGGTTCTGTGTTTGTGAAAAGAACATGTTATCATGCATCGGAATAGTAGGCTCGCTGGGTGAGATGAGAGACGAAGGGTCGGTGTAATGCGCCGCCCAGGTGTCCACATCGACCAAATACTCGGAGTAGTTTACAGGGTCGCTCGCTGGGTCGAACACAACATGACCCGACCTGGGTGTCATTGAGGATCTTGAAGGTCCCTGCCCGTTCCAAGGGTCAAAGCGGGGTGGCTGGGTGGTGTAGTTCTGGTCGTACATGTTGTTCTGGGAGTGCATCATTGGCATTTGTTGCGCTTGGTGGGCTTGCATGTTATACTGCTGCTGGAATACTTGCGGGTCGGCCATTGTAGCATTGAAGGCTGCTTGGACGGCTATGGGCGCGTCAGCAGAAACAGATAAACTAACCCAAGGGCAACGTACCTTGGTCGCTAAAGGTACCGTGAGCAGTAAAGAGCATGCTGGAATCCATTGTGGGTAGCCCAGTAGGCGAAGTCTGCGATGCTACGGTATTGCCGTTCTGGTGGTAGTAGTTGCGCATGGAGTCGGAGTCGAGCATCTCCACCTCGAACGAGTCACCGTCCGGTGTCCTCACAGACGTAGGGGACGTTGAAGAGCTACCATTGTCCCATAACATGTGCTCAGGATCCTGGAGCAGTTCGGGCTGCTGTGATGGGCCCCGGCTCAAAGGCGGCGGGGTCGCAAGTGGTCCAGGCGAGTGCCCAGTATGATTGACCAGAGAGTCGGTCGGTGTCTTGGAGCGCTGTCGCGCATCGTACTGGCCGCCGAAGACAAAGGCATGGGGATCGACGAAAAGAGCTTGGTCTGGATAGGTGTGGTACTGCTGCGAGTATGTCGACATGGCGCGCAAGTGGCCACTTGGGGCCAAACCAGAATGAGGGTCTTCCTAGGGCTTGCGCACCAGACCGCAGAGGGGAATCTTTGTTGTGAAAAGGGCCAAAAGGTCGACCCACGGGCCCACGATGATACTGAAGACGCGGAGCGGAGGTGGACGGCTTGTGCGCGCGCAGAAGAGCGATGCGCAACAAGGAACACAAACGAGGGCGATCCGACCAGAGTGAGAACCGCTCACTACGACTCGAGAGATAAGACACAAGAAGAATCTGTCTCGGGACGGCTGACGGGCAGAAGTTCAGACGGCGACGGCATTCAAGCACATCTTACGCTGCCCCGCGAAGACCGGTGAAGAGCAACCCGGCAAATGCAGGCTATTGGCTTAGCTGCATGCTTGTGTGCAACATTTAGATCACACCAAGCCGCAACCAACCTTCGCGCCGCCCCGCGCTGCACTGTAAATCACCCATTGTTTGAGCTCATGATATCAGTGTACAAGTGGCTGGGCGCGTTTCTTTTCTGCGGCCTTTGCGTTGCGCTTTTTGCACGTCCTCAAGGCGGGTTTTGGAGTCCCGGATCTGGGTTGCAGCCGCCAGCCTGTCTACCCCAGGCATAGATGCATGCAGTGCACCGCTGGCTGCGCCTTGTTCGCTAAACCGCTCCCAATCAGTGGCGGGTGCTGAAACGAATGGCAGGTCAGACAGAAGGTAATGGGTGGCAGAGCACCGCCGAGTTTTGCTCTAGCGCGGCTCTGCTGTGTTCACCGGTGCGACAAGCTGCCAGCTCATGCTGCAAAACACTGTCATCCGTCCGGAAACTAGACTTGATTGTTCCTCCAGCCAGTGTGTCGTACCAGCCTTCGCGGTCCGGATGGTTGCTTCGATAAGATATGAATCTTGTGTATAGTAGACAAACTTGTGGTACACCAGCACAAACTGAGGGCAACTGGAGTAGCTGAGCAAGCCCCGCGGCTATCGCGCGTGATGAGTTTCTCGATTGACTTTGCGTTCTGCTCGATAAATGGGCAGGGGCCTTTGGTGTAGAGGTGGCGACAGCAGGGAAAATGGGAACGAAGGATCCGTGGTGAGCAACCATGTCAACAAGCGTAGACTTGCTACTCTCGGCCGTGCTTGCTCAAGTGGGCGTGAGGGAATTCGGCAGGACACGACACTATGCCGCATTCGGCACGGCAGTATGCCGGGCACCGGTGCAGCCTCCCGTACCACATGCACTCAGCCAAGATAAATACAGTTTCTATCCAACATGGCCAAGATGACCAGACAACATCAAGTTCCTGACCAACCGTCATGCTTAACCCAGAGAAAGTGATAAGATTCAGCATCTCCACCCGGCATGGACAAAGTATTCGAAGAGAGACCGCAAAAGAAAATAACTGTGAGAGTGCAGAATTCGTCACAGACAACGATAAGTATTTTTAGAAGCAAGAGACTTCTGTAATCTTCATAGATGCGAAAGAAACGGATACGTATGTAGCCATCAGTGGAGCGTGCAATACTTCTAATGTAACCTCTTTTGATGGCTGCAGAGCTTTAACTGCACGACTACACCAAACAGGAGCTGTATACAGAAGCCGACCCCAAAACAGAGTTAGAAGTTTTTTTCTTTTGAATTCCAACTGGCTCTTGAAGAAGCTACATCAAGTCAAAGACTCATAGATCTAATAAACCTTGAATAGGTGTACTTGTGTTTTGATCACTGATGACTTTGTGATATGTTTCAGACAGAAACTCGCTACTATCTACAAGAACGTATGTAAACATAGGCTAGCCCTGATGAGGTCCAGAAAAGTGTCGGTTTCCCACCACGGCAGTTCTCCGGTTACGAATAGATCTGTATCCGATGCTAACTGTACACGATAGTCTAGTACCCTGATTAAGAATCGTAGTTATAACCATGAGCTCTAGTCTACAAGTCATCTAGATCAGGGGTCTGGTGCGGGTTCAAACGCTTATGTAGAACCCAAAATCGCTCCCGTGATGCAATTTCACAGCCTCGGTTTGAATGACCTATAATCGATTGTTGGCTCCATTAATTGTGGAAAGTGAATTTGAATATCGTACATGGCACCCTTGCATTACAAAAAGGGCCGACAACCAGCCAAGCTTCCACGATATAGAGAACTCGATATAACAATTGCTGCCTGACTTTCTTCCACAGTAATCGACCTCTAGTCGCCACAGCCATAGTTCTTCATAGCAACATGACGCTTGGATTTGGTGAATGAAAGTAAGGCTATGGTAGATAGTAGGCAAGACTTACGCAGAGAGTGTGATGACACATGCAGGTGGGTTCAAAGAGACATTTCACCGGGAGGTACGCTCGCCGATCTATCACACATGTGTAATCAACATTGTACTCGCAAGAAGGATATGAAGTTCGGCATTTCAAAGGGACGCGATGCTGTACCATTTTAGGCTTACCAGAGATCTCACCGAGCAATCGCGTGCGCTCAGGTATCCATTACGTGCATTTTGATTTAGTAAGATAAGTCAGAAAAATCTCGAAAGCTGAAAAAAAACGCCTTGGAGGCTGACGTGAATCATGTACATTCCCTCGTCTGCCTTGCTTGTACTGTCATATTATTGGTTGTTTTGATGAGAGGACTGTTTTCCGATTTCGCCTCATCGGACGCCCGACAGAGGACCCTTTGACCGCTAGAACGTCTGCAGGGTTTGACCCAGAAGGTTTGATCTGGCCTCTGACCGTCAAAGATAGATGTTGGCTATATATAATGACCAGCACACTTGGCCTTTAGCTACACATGCCGATACAATCACACATCGCCGGCGTTTAGAGCTAAGGCATGTGATCAAAATCGCCGGACGTCTTGATAGTCTCGTTGTCTATCACATTTGCTCATGTGTAGATATGAAACCCGGATGAAGAGAAGCTATGAGGCTGGTTTGCCTTCGGCTTCAAGCCTTCCTTGGCATGCTCTCTTATCTAACTCGATTCAATCGACTCCTACAATTGCGAATTTACTCCGTGACATCGAAAGAACTCCATTAGGTAATTATCGAGCCGAATCAAGCTTAGCGCTGTCGATCTTAGCGCACACATCGGGGGCTCGGAGCTAGATTCATGGGCATTCGGAATAATGGCTCTGGGCAACACCACATCTAAGACAACAAGTGTGAAAAACACCCCACCACCATTCTTTTGCCATCCAGAACTTAGCTATAGTACTCGATATGCTGCGGAGAAATGGAAAGCCGAGGTATGTGGCCATTCCAGCCGTCAACCTACGGTGACGGCTGTGGTGCACGCTAGCAGTGCACACTGTCCGTGACCAGGCGCAGAGCTTGGAAATGGCTCGGGATGCTAGCTCCCGTCCAGGGACACCGGATGCTAATTAATCACAGGTCATGTGAACCGTGTCGCATATCAAAGATTAGGTGCGACCATGCAACGCCTACCTGCCAGAAGTGCCATGCTCGCGGGATTACGGAGCAAGTAAGTAGATCCCGCACTAGATTTCACAAGTATTCATGATCACGCCTCCTAATGTAGGAAGGAGAACTTTGAAAAAAAAACATTAAAATACGTTCACTCAGTGTGATTGGCACATCGATGCCTCCAACGCACGCGAATATTTCGAAGGTATTCGGGAGGCCGGAATGTGGTCCCTGAACGCTTGCATTACCTAGTTATAAAACCATGCACGTATGATCACACTAACACTTATAAGTGCTTCTATCACCCTAATCCGATGACCAAGCCGGCCGGAACACCGCGGAAGAAACCAGAGTCACGTCGGAGAAAACTAGATGCGCAATCTATAAACGGCCAAGGAAGGCTGGCGTCACTAACACTCAGCCCCCCTACTCTTAGAAATGATGCAGATCCAGGGGCGGTGAGTAATACATGGCCAACACCACCAGAACCTACCACCAGAACACCCCAAAATGTGTCTCATCCAGCAAGGAACTTTTTCTTGGGATCAACGAGCTATGCCTCCGTCTTCACGGGTGAGCATCCATTACCCACGCCCATGGATGAAGAATCCTCGGAGCAACCTATTCCGGCTTCTCCAGTGCCTAGTAGAAGTATGGGACATCGTCACTGTCAATTCGCCTTGGGAAATCTGATAGTTTCGTCCCTGTCACCGTTCAGTTTCTTCGAAAAGTCTTTAACACTATACTTCGAAACACAAAAAGCTTGTCCCATTATTGGTCCGTTGATTCTCTCAGCACTTCCTCAACTCCGCAAAGATATGGAACTGTTAAAGTCTGCTGATAATGATGTCTATTCATTATATGCCGAGATGACCAGAAACACCGCACGGCCCATGAAGGTGCCTGGAGGCATGCGACCAGCCGAGTTTCATACGTTGTTCACTGGAAAAAATTTGAGATGGGAGACTTTAGGCCTTGTTCTGGTTCTTGCTGGCTCCAAGGCTCAATTTACGGCGCCGAATGATCCCATGTTTACACTAGAGGGAGGTGAGGTGATGAACAAGGACGAGTTCATTGAAGATGTCATGCATGCTACTAACGTATGTATCAACATTTGCCAGACGCATGGCGCAGTAAACGAGAGTAAGAGAAAACCAAATCAGGTCACTGCACTTGTGCTTTGCTAACAGTTGCAGTAATGGTATGTCTTGTCTACATCAATATGCTAGTAGTCAGTAATTATTATGGAGACAATCGTAAGTACATTACTCTGAAAATGTACCGTATCTTAGGCATTGACTTTTGAGAAGACCATGGAACATGGCGACGCATGGGAGATAGTGTCAGTGCCCTGTATGCTGCAGGGATACATTGCGAAGCCTCCAGTTCAGAAGGTGAAAACCATGAGCCCTTCTTCATGCGGGAGTTTAGGCGAAGGCTATATGCTGCAATTTACCGCTCAGACAAGACTCTAGCAGTGTTCTATGGGCGGCCTCCATTGATGGGTTGGAGATACAGTGATCGCAAGATGCTACTAGACATCAGTGACCAGGCCATAATCTCGGAAGATGCAACTAGACTGAATGAAGAGCTTTCGAAGCTCGACAGTGCGGGTTGGAATACTGGAGGGTTCCTTAATCCTGCTACATTCGTTCGCCTAAGTTGTCAACTTAGTGTCTTCAAAGAAAGGCTACTAGAACAGAGTCTTGCTGGAGAGAAAGACAGTGAAGTGGTACGGAACATAGAGTAAGTCGGCTCCCGATTCCACTTGTACGAGACCTGACAACCCGAAGAGCGATTTCGGCAGAATGCGCAGAATGGTGGCACGCACTACCAGCGTACCTCCGATATGAGACATATACAGACGATGCTGCCTGGAATGTTCGAGGACCCGGAGTAGCTGTACGCCTTATCGCTTGTTACCTGGATTATCTACATTTGGAATTCCAAACGCAACGCCTACTCCACAAGATAACGCAACAAGCCCTTCCTGCACTGTTGGAAGTATCACTCAAACTCCTTGCAACATCGATTGTATCAACCATGCCCAACAATCGTGTCTACGAGACGCGTCGCCACTTCCCCACCGTCGTCCTCTTCTACTGCTTCCCAGCCGCCGGTGTAATAGCTCTGGAGCTACGCCGCTGTACAATCGAGGGTGTCCCGCTCCCAAGTACAATCTCGCGTGCAGACGTCATACGGAATCTCTCCATACTAACATCGTGCCTCGAGTGGATCATTCTACCCGGCGACGGAAACCACAGACTCTGCAGCGAACTCAACAAGATGCTTGCGGTGGTGCTAGATGAAGTCCTCAACTATGAACCGCCTGCAAACCGCAGCCAGGAGGATGGTGAGGATGCAGAGAATATGATGGCGAGTGCTGGACAAGGAATTCTTGATATGCCGATGATTGAGGGGCTGGAGCCGATCCCTACTGAGGCCGAGGATTTTTTGAACTGGTTGGATAATGCTACGTGGAATGGGACAGTAAGCTGACCTGATATTTGGTCGCGGTTGCCGCTTTTGGGATGAGTGGTAACCATATATGACTTTTGAGCTGGTTTTCTCACTACATGGATGAGATATGGGTGGCAGAATTATACCTGAACAACCCTTGTAATTACTCGATTTAGAAACATAGCCCCCTGTGCGAATCAAACTCTTTCGTTCTTTACAAAGGCATTTACTAAGCTTTCAAAGCATCGTGTCCCCAGTTTTTCAGGCTCTTGTAGCTCTTAGTCTCAGTATCTTGCTTGGCCTTTTCCTCCTGGGCTAAATGTCTCTTACAATACGCCACCACCTTTCTCATATGATCAATATCTTCTTGCTAAAGACACAAAAAAACATTAAGTCAGCCCTGGCATGTAATGCGTGGTACTCTGTGGTTGAATTCAGGACTTACGTCGTACTTGCCAGGATTTTTCTGCGGATTCTTGGAAAGGATGGAGACGATGCGTCGGCCCGATTCGTGGCCAATTGTTTCGCCGTTGGATGAAGAGTCGTTGGTCCAACCGGCGCTCTCAGATTCTTGGCTGCCGAGCCACTCTTTGAGTTCGTCGGCAGTCATGTTTATGAGTTCGTTGAACTCCCTGGGGTAAGGATGAGCATGCCTCAAGCAGTAGGAATAGGCACGCGAATCACGAACTCAATCACGGTGTCGTTATCTTTGACCATTTTGTGCAGCTGGGTTGAGATGAAGACAATTCTTTTCCAATAAGTATGCTTCAAGTCGTCTCGGTGTAATGCTACGGAGGTTACTGCTGTGGTTTCTACACCTTGTCTAGGACGACTAGTGACGTCATAACATTGCCGTTTCTGGTCCCGGTTGGACTATTGCACGTGATGCGGCTGCGTGCAGTTCAGCCGCGCGGACCGTTGACAACCACGTTAGCAACGTTGCGGACATACTATCGTTCTTATATGTAGATATATGCATGTATACTTCGAACAATGAGGCTGCTAGATGCCCCAACAACTGAGTAACGTCCCGAGTCATGCTCGCCGGCTTGCAAAGCACAGTGCGTTATCTATGCGCATTTCAATCCTTCAGCCGCACTAAACCTCGATGGGCGACGACGGTGAGCCACAGCTTGACAGCATTCGTTACCTGATATCGTAGCAGGTGTATGTGAAACATATTGTGTCCATCTGTCCAAAGTGTTGAGAATCCTTTCTGCTCAATTTGTCTTGTTCGACATACCCAAGAAGTGGCGAGGCGTCTCCAGGTCCCCGCACCACCACCACACCACCACATCTCCGCAACCCCCTTCTTCTCCTCACCACCACATCTCCACTGCCCCTCAGAGTTTTATTCACGCATTCCCCACGGCTGCGGAACTGCCGAGGATGTCTTTCCTCCTTTTCTCGTGCGATGCGGGCCGCTAACAAGCCATTGGAAAATTCTTGGTGGCTTCCTTGAGCCTCAAGTGGACCACCTCCGCCGATCTGAGACCGAAACCTGGCTCATGTTGCATTTTTAATGGGTCACATTCTTGCTTGGCCCGAGTCTGTCTGCACGCGGTCGGAGATTGAAGGGCAAAATAAGCGAAATCCATAAACATTGGCCCGGCTCGAGCGGCACTTGTTGAAGAGGCGGAGAGAAAGTCGGGGGGACGATGGAGTGATGTTGAGGGCAGCACAGACCTGTATCGACTTCAAGGCGCCCTCATCCCCACCTCCATCGCAAAGTGAAGTGTCTTCACCGACGTCCGACCGGCCCCTGGGCGTACACGTCGCCTTGATTTACCACCCTCATGTACGTCACGCGACAATGGCCCTGTCTCTGCGAACCGGTTGTGCGGCATAACGGGCGTCAAGAACGCGACGCGGTGCCACCCGTTGTGAATGCGGGGTGAGCATCATCAGAGGCGCTTGTGAGGCTCTCATTCTTTCAAGCAGTAGGACACCATATGGGCCGTCCGCGGTCAGATGCTCATAGGGGAACCCGATCCATCTCCTGCGATATTGTGGTAGCGCAACCACGGTCATTGGCCCTCTGCGGAATAGTCGGCGGAGTAGCCTTGGCTATCGAATCGCGGCCAACTTCCCCACATGTCGGTCGCTAGTTCCCCAGCAGCCATGTTGCGTGGACAAGCCCACTACTGCAGTTTCAAGAGCTCAGGACGGAATTCGTATGGCTGTTGCGCAATTCGAGCCAAGAACGTAGGGTCCATCTTGCCCAGGGCGCCTGTGACGGCGTGGCGGCGATGACGTACAACCCCGGAAGAGCATGTCTGGGCGCAAAGCTGGGCGCAACACTGGGCATTACCGCATAGCCAAAGTCGGCAAGGGATTGGCGACGATACTTAAGTCCTGGTGGGTTCGCGATGCGTAGAACAAGCAATTTTTCAGATTCCTTCAGCATCTTTCGCTGAGCTCAATCTACTACAGTCATCATGGGTTTGGGCACAGTGTAAGTTTGAAAATTATACTGCACGACATGTATGCGCATTGTTCTAACTCATGATAGTTCTGTCAAGATTCGCGGTGCCGCAGTCGGCACTGAGGCCATCATGCTCGGTGTGATTACATCGATTGGTGGTTTCCTGTTCGGTTACGATACTGTATGCTTGAGATACTTCCTGCCTTTTGTCGAAACATTTCCTGATCGTGTATAGGGTCAAATCTCCGGTATTCTGCTGTTCCGCGACTTCATTGACCGCTTCGGACAAGATCAGGGCAATGGTCAGGTTGCTTTTGATCCAACTATCTCGTCTCTGCTCGTCTCGCTCATGTCTATTGGTACCCTTTTCGGCGCACTTGCTGGTGCATACACTGCCGACTTTTTTGGACGTCGCAAGAACCTTACTGTTGGTGTGATCATCTTCATTGTCGGAAACACTATCCAAGTCACGGCCATGGAAAGTTGGGTCCACATGACTATCGGTCGTATTGTTGCTGGTCTTGGTGTCGGTATTCTGTCTATTGGTGTCCCCATGTACCAATCCGAAGTCTGCCCCCGTGAAATCCGTGGCCCAGTCGTCGCATCATACCAACTCATGATTACTGTTGGCATTCTGAGTAAGTTTGCTTTTTCTCCATGCATGTGGATGATACTTATGCTCGATAGTCTCCAACATTATCAACTACGGTGTCCGTGACAACCCAGGTCAGGATAACTCTGCCTCCTGGAGAATCGTCATTGGTCTTGGTATCGCCTTCTCCGTTCCTCTTGGTTTCGGTGTTCTATTCACCCCTGAGTCGCCTAGGTGGCTGGCTGGCAAGGGTCGATGGGAAGATGCGCGTATCGCCATGGCTCGTCTCCGTGGTCTCAAGCACGACCCCAACAACCAGTTGGTCAATGAAGACTTCAAAGAAATGGAGGACTCCATCAACGAGCAAAAGAGCGCCGGTCAGGGTTCTTGGAAGGAATGCTTCGCCCGCTCATCTTCTGGTATTCCCCGTGTTGTATACAGGACGTTCCTTGGCTGTGCCCTTCAGTTTGCGCAACAGTGGACTGGTGTCAACTACTTTTTCTACGTAGGTCTTAGTGGATATCTCCTGGAACGATTTGTGACTAACCAATTTACAGTATGGAGCAACCATCTTCCAGTCCGCCGGTGTTCAAGATCCCATTCAGGTTCAGCTCATTCTTGGCGCTGTCAATGTAGCAATGACTTTCCCTGGTCTCTACCTCATCGAGCGACTTGGTCGCCGAATTCCACTGGTTCTTGGAGGTCTCTGGCAAGCAACTTGGCTCCTCATCTTCGCCGTCATCGGTGTCGTCTTACCCCCAACTGAGAACGAGGTTTCTGGAATTGTTATGATTGTCGCTGCATGCATGTTCATTGCAAGTTTCGCTGCCACATGGGGACCCTTCATTTGGGTCGTAATTGGTGAGACGTTCCCTCTGCGAACACGTGCCAAGCAAGCTTCGTTGGCTACGGCATTCAACTGGCTTGGTAAGTCACTCCTTGTTCCTGCATATTTTGTGTTTACTAACAAAACCCTCCAGGTAACTTCTTGATCGGTTTCCTCACCCCTTATGCCGATGATGGTATCGGATACGCTTTTGGTTTCGTCTTCTTCGGCTGCAACTTTGTCGCAGCCGCCATTGTCTACTTCTTCCTTTTCGAGACCAAGGGTCTGTCTCTCGAGAACGTCGACATTATGTACTCGGATAACAACCTCTCCGCTAGGACCAGTAAGAAGTGGGTACCTGCAGGATACATTACGCGTAACGAACGCGACGACGCTTACTGGCAACGCCGCCACAGCGCTGTCGCTGCCAATGGCGGTGCGCCTGGCAGCGTTGCTGAGAAGTACAACGACAAGGACGACAGCTCACCCGAAAGGGGAATGTCGTTGCACCAAGAGCGCGTTAACTAGGCGCATAGTCTCTTTGATGTATATTACATAGCACTGATAAAACGGTGTTCTTTTTTTCCCTGATTTTCCTTGGGCATAATCATGCCAAGGTACTCGTATCGCATGACTGCTTTTTAGCGCTGCATATTGGCCTAGAGGAGTGTCACATCACATATCTATACCCCCAAATCAATTCACGTCAAATCCATTTGAATCTTACATGTATACGAAATGTGACTTTTCCTTTACTAAATAAAAAATCCAAATAGTTGAGCAGGTGTATAGATACAGAGAAACGAGAGCCAAAAAAACATTACGTTATCAAACCCAACGCAGTCTGCCAACACAGCCACGCAGCCCACCCATGCCGAATTTAGCGTGGCGCAGGGCACACCCGACATACGCGTCAGCCTTTATGACAACCAACGCTCGCTGTCCACCCGTTTGTTTATTTGCATCTCCACCCCACAACTTTCTGGTTTGGTCTGCTTTAACTCCGTGGCCGAACAATAAATATAACAAACCAAACCACTACATATCGCATTTCTTTCCGCTCAGTCGTTTCTCTGGAATATACTATCTGGCTGTTTTGTATACAGACGCCTTCCGGTTGGGGATCCATTCACTTGAAGCTGCCCAGCGTTAAAGACGGTGTGTGACCACCGCATCAACAAAGAAAAGAGACGGGAAAGTCAGAAAAAAAAGATATGGCACCGACACTCGCTTTCGAACCTCAGAGTGCGGGACTGGCGTGGAGAGCAGCTGTTTTATCGTCGTCGTCTTTCGCTTCATCGTTTGAGGCTTCGAGTTCGGAGGGGGTGTACGCGCGGCATGCGTTCGCGAAGAGGGATTTATCGGTAAACCATACTCAGGGTGTTACGCTGGGGGTAATAGGAGCGTATGTGGTTGTTATTGCGTTGTTGTGGAATTTACCGTATGTGAGGTGGGTTTTGTGGCCGTTTAAGGTATGTTGGTCACCATCCTCTTCGTCTTCGATGAACATGGAGTTTGATGCACCTCCCTTTCTCGTACAGTTCCTTCAGATAAAGAAAAGAAAAGAGAAAGATACGGAAACTGGCAGGGCTTTCACGGAGAGGAAAGGGATAATGTATTAGAATGTGGACTGATGTGGTATGATAGATGCTCGTTATCGCCTTCCACGAATTCTCTCACGCAATCACCGCCGTATGCACCGGCGGCCGCGTCGAATCTATCTCGCTCGATCCCCACGAAGGCGGCGTGACCCACATGCGCGGCGGCAAGCAAATCGTTACGCTGCCCGCTGGCTACCTAGGCTCCTCGCTCATCGGCGCCCTGCTCACCTTTTGCGGCTTCAACATTGTCGCGTCCAAGGTAGCGAGTATCGTGCTAGGCGTGTGCTTTTTGCTCACGCTGTGGTGGGCGCGCAAGGATTGGCTGACCATTTTGACGATTTTGGGGAGTGTGGGGTTGTTAGTTGGATTTTGGTTTATTGAGCATGGGGAGGCATTGAGATTTTTGGTTGTATGTTTTGTCCCCGCTGCTTTTCCCTTTTTCTCTCCGTGTTGTGTGATTGCTGACTTTTGTGTGTTTGAAACAGCTATTCATTGGCGTCATGTCGTCGCTATATAGCGTCTGGGATATCTGTGATGATCTTATTCTGCGCAAGGTGAATTCTTCAGACGCGAGTGTCTTTGCGAAGCGCTACGGCGGCTCCTCGCAGTGCTGGGGCGTCATTTGGTCGATTGTCTCGCTGCTGTTTATGGTTGGTGGTATTTTGGCTGGTTTGGCGGCATTTAAGCAGAGTTTTGAACAACAGCAGAAGGATAGTCAGGGGTTCATTCCTACGATGCGGTAAATGAAGTGGCTATACATGGGGCATGCTACGATGATGTTTGAAATGGGTTCATGATATTGGTTGGTGAGATAGCTTAGTATGTATACTATGATCTCCTTCACTGGGGTTAGTAGAACATCCCGTCGCGCAGAATCATGGACATCGTTCAGGCACTATCAACTCAGCCCCACTATATATTGAAGAATGAGTTAGCTTGGAACTATACTCTGGAAGTTTCTTAGCCTACTGTGTATCTTCAAAACCAAAAATACAGTATGGCTGGGTTTGCTTCTGGGCAACTGGGCCTTAGCGTTGGAAGCGTCAACGACGATGCATACCTGCTCTACCATTGAGCACTATAGTTCCACTGTTCTGGAGGTTTGAAAGATCCTCTATGACTCTTGTCTAAAATTGCGAGATACCAACTCTACATCCACATCTCCACATACTAGACACTGCGCACGAAAAGATACGTTAATTCTAGTAGTACACTGTCCAGCCTTTTTGTATTTTCACAGGTTCTAAATATCATACAAAAGGGGGCAAAAACAAATCTTTCTCTATGTATATGCAAGAGGCAACAGGGTTTTAATTAAGATGTTTTCCGTTCCAAAGATGTCTCACGTAGGTGGGCAAGGTGGTGGCAGAGGGGCGGCGCCGAAGGCACCTATATACACCAATACCCCAATGTAGGCAGCCTGGGCTCACACCTCTGGCATCATATAATATAAAACCAAGGGACTTTTTATGAAGTCCAGCCTGTATTTACATGCATTCCGAATTTTTGCATAGCAGGGCTTTGAACGCTGAACAGTCTGCATTGTACACCTGTGCGATGCTAAGACGGTTTGAGCTGTGGCGCAGGCCAGCCATCATAGCCCACCCCGATGCTTAGCAAAACGAGGGAGTGTACTCTTTTCCCCACGTGTGAACATACACGTAGCCCGCCTCTATCAACATTAACGGCGGCACGGCAAAGCCCAAACGGTTGATCTAAAAGCTTGCCAGGCTGCCGCGCTTCCATGCCGTCCAGCCTGATGCGACCAAGGACCGATGATACTCCGTCACAACATGTGATTGCTCAAGATACAACATGACGGCACAATCACGCTCACAGAAGACCTGATGGGCGCTGGTAACGTGCCCGCCTACGCCATACTCTCGCACACCTGGCTGTCTGGCCAGGAAGTCACCTTCGACGAGTTTACTGGAGGTCTTGGTCGTGACAAGGCTGGCTTCGACAAGATCCGCTTCTGCGCACAACGGGCTCAGCAGGATAGCCTACGGTACTTGTGGGTGGATACGTGTTGTATCAACAAGACAGATAATGTCGAGCTTCAGCATGCGATCAACTCCATGTTTCGCTGGTACTAGGGAGCGACTCGATGCTATGTTCTTCTAACAGATGTATTTGGCGCTGAGCCAACGACTGAGCATGTACCCAACATACCTGTATGGGAAGAAGAGTTTAGGCGAAGCCGCTGGTTTACTCGAGGTTGGACGCTCCAAGAACTGCTTGCCCCGTGTGTTGCAAGCTTCTACTCTAGAGACTGGATGCATCTAGGCGACCGAGACAACCTAAAACAGCTCATCCACGAGATCACCAACATCCCCTGCCCAGTCCTTACAGGAGCACCGTTGGATAACTTCAGAGTAGAGGAGCGCATATCTTGGTCTAACCAGCGTCAGACTACGCGTGTAGAAGACAAGGCGTACTCGCTGCTGGGTATCTTTGGTCTGTTCACGTTCCTCAACTATGGCGAAGGTGAGAGACCAATGCTTTCAAAAGGCTATGAAAAGCGATCGCAGAAGACTCGCAGGGATCGTTCCAGCGGCAGGCGTCAACGGTGAATCTTGGAGGGAGTACCGCCACCTATACACCTGGTACGTACAATGGCAGCCGGATAAAAAGCTTGTTGTATGTCTGATTTGTTTACGCTGCAGCTGTCCAAAAGCCCTCCTACTGAATACCATTTTCAAAGAACTGATACTTTCTTGGAAGGAGAGAAAAGCTCGAGATCCTTCATCAGACGTTGCTGGAGGACACAGGATGCCAAAAGATGTCGATTGTGGGACTCGGTGGGACTGGGAAGACTCAGTCAGCCTTGCGATTTGCGTACATAGTCAGAGAGACCATGCCAGCCGTCTCAATTTTTTGGATGCCTGCACTCAGGATGGAGAGGTACGAGCAAGCCTGCGTGGCCGTTGCCGCTGCTTTGCATATCAGCCAAGCGGAGACGAGTAAAGACAACGTAAAAAAGCTTGTGAAGGAGCATCTAAGTGCAGATCAGGCAGGACCGTGGTTACTTGTGCTCGACAATGCAGATGATCACAACATCTTGTATGGCACCGAGTATGCTGCGGGCATCATCGACTATCTACCGGAGAGCGAGAAGGGCATGACCGTGTTCACTACACGAGTGCAAGAATTAGCCGTGGCGTTGACGCGAGGCGACGTTCTAGAGCTGGGTTATATGAGCAAAGTAGATGCCATGAACTTCTTGGAGAAGTCTTTAATCAGAAAGAACCCCACTGAGGAATGCGAGGAGCTATTGGACGAGTTGGCGTACCTCCCTTTGGCCATCTCTCAGGCTGCCACGTACCTAAATATGAATAGAACGACTTTTACAAGGTATCTGCGGCTGCTGAGACATATAGAGCAAGATACCATCAGTCTAATGAGCAAAGAGTTCCAAGATCAAACACGCTACGAGGGCTCGGCGAACGCAGTGGCCTCAACGTAGGTAGTATCGTTCAGTCAACTTTCAGGGCGCGATACGGTGGCAGCAGATCTGCTAGCATTTATGTCGTGCATCGAGTGGAAGGCAATACCATAGTCGCTGTTGACGAAGGTGCAGTCGCAAGAGCGATTAGAAAAAGCTGTTGGCACGCTCTGCGGGTACTCATTTGTATCAAGGCGGGAAGGCAACAACACTCTTGAGGTTGACGGAAGAGAAGAATGGTACGACGTACATCGACTTGTGCATCTTGCTACCAAAGTTTGGGTAGACAAGTGTAGTAGTGCTGCAAGCGTGAGCCAACAAGCTATGGCACATGTTGCTAAGGTCTTCCCGAGCGATGAATTTACCAACAAGGCCGTATGAGGAGCATACATGCCTCACGCACTACGACTACTTGATACAAAATCACCTATTGATGCCCAAAGCAGAGCCAAGTCAAGTTATCGGGTGGGACGATGCCTAATTTTCGACGTTCGATTTCCAGAAGCAGTGAGATGGTTTGAGGAGTGCTCGCAATGCAGAGAAGTACTGGATGAAGGTGATCCAGATCGGCTGGAAGCGCAGCATGAACTCGGTGTTGCCTATCATTTGAATGGACAGATCGAGGAGGCTGTGAGGCTGCTAGAGTACGTGGTCAAGATGCTAGACGCTACGCTCGTAGAGGCTCACCCCTCTCGGCTTGCGTCGCAACAGACACTTGGCGTTTCCTACTGGCAGAATGGACAATTTGGGGACTCTAGAAGACTACTAGAGCATGTTGTCAAGAAACAAGATACGATGCTTGCAGAGACTCATTTTAATCAGCTAGCGTCGCAGCATCAGCTTGCTGTTTCCTACTACGGAGGTGGACAGGCTGGTGATGCTATAAAACTACTAGAGCACGTAGTCAAGATACAAAGCACCATGCTCGCACAGACTCACCCCAATTGCCTAGAGGCAGAGCGCTGATTACACCGCATGGTTGTTCATCAAAAACAAATTCCATTGCTTCTCTTCCAACGTCCTTGTCTCGAGTAGTTTCGGCAGTGTTCTTTCACATAACGCTTCGACATGCCTCTAGCAGTTAGATGCCTCAAAAACTACCCTCTAAGAACGGGATTCTGGAGACACGCACATAAGCACAATGATTGCAACCCAACAAAAGATCTGTACGGATCGTTTAAAGCGTCCGAAAAAACAAGTCTCAAGGGCTGCAGAAGTAACTCTATTCGATGCTAACAGGGCCCAAGGACCCGGCCTTGCATCATCTGGAAGGATTTCTGATAGATGTATAGATATTTGAACTATGTGGAGTTTGTAGAAGGGACATCCCTCGTGACCGAGGATTTCTTCGTGAATATCGCTAGACGATAGAACAATAAGTTGAAGAAGTAGCATGGCTTGAATACCCTTGACAATCCTGCGCTGTGCCATGCTCTTACTACTCACAGACTGGATTGAGGTTACTGGTTATCTTTTTTCCTCGTATATGACACACCTTTCCGATAAAATAAAGTATGATCTTTACGTCGCCTTGATAATATCAAAAAATGGTCTCTTTCATTTATATTAGGACTGATACCTGAGAAACTAAAGTTTACCAACCAAGTGAAACAACACTACTAAACATGGTATCAAGCGAGAGCAAAGAAGAAAACACCATCACAATCATAATCATAACCATAACCAACTCCACACCCCACATCTACTGTCCAGGCACATGCGCCACATTCCTAATATCCTTCGTCTCGATCCTACCCACAGCAGGATACATATCATGTCTATCGATGTAACTCTGCGCCGTCTTAACGTTCTGTAGCGTCTCATCCCTACCCTCGCTCTTGGCAGTTTCAACTTTTACAAGCATGTTTTTGTCGAATTCATTGCCGCCGTTTACTTCCCCTTCGCTGACGGGAAACACCTTGACTTCACCGCCGTCCTCAGCAATGGGCGGGATACTGTTGTGCTGCTGCCCCTCAAGCGAGAGAGTGTGCATGCGGGAATCCAGGTCGTCGGTGGGGAGTTGGGGGGACTGCGGTATTGCGCCGACAGATTTCGAACGTACAGCTTGTAAGGGGCTCATGGCGTCGGAGGTGGGATCTTGGGTTTCGACCGCGGAAAGGGAGCGCTGCGGGTCTACGGTCGGAACGCTGTTTGAGCGCTGTTTTTCCAGTGTGGGTTGTTGGGGGTGTTGCTTGATGCTCTTGTTCCAGGACTTGAATTTGAAGGCGGAGAGCCAGCTTGGGCGTTTTTCTTTGCCCGCATTGGGGTTGATGGCGCGCTCGGCGGCGAGCTGGATGTGAGATTTTGCTTCAGGTTTACGAGTGCCGGGTAGGAGTACTTTGGGAGCTGCTGACATGGGGGCTGGCGCGGGCCGTGTCTCTTGGTCTGATTTGCGGCGGACCGATTTTTCTGTGGTTGGCTCTGCGATGCCGAGTCCTGCGCGGTGTTGGGCGAGACTGGTTTCCTTGAGCTCTTGACTTATGTACTGCAGTGCCTTGTCGATGACTTCAATGTACTCGGGATAGTCGACTTCACAGGCCTCGCGAATCAGACGGAGCTTCTCCCAGTCCTGTCTCACTGTCGGGCCAGTCAGATCAGGGTGCCAGCCCATGCTTTTGAGATCAGATCGAATTCCACGATCGACTTGCTCTTTTACACCCATGAGATCAATCAGAGCATCAACCTCTGTGCGCACTGTCTTAACATAATCGTTGAAGCGCGCAGTGTCCTTGACTTGCCAATGCGATGTCGTCATACTCAGATTCCGCTTTAGACTAGACCGAGCACCAGTTTGGTTAAGGAGATCTTTTAGCAAGCCATACTTTTCACGGAAACCCTCCAGCCGATTGCTGTCTAAAGCGGGGTACTCGGCCTTGGAAAAAGTCTTTGGGCTTTTCAGGCCGTACATGCTCATCAGCTCGTCTCGTGACATGTTGCTAGGTCGGCCCGCGATCTCGTGAAGCGCCCTTCGAATCTTGGCGTTGATGACCTCTTCATCGAGTCTGGGATCGCGCACACCAAAGTTGACGGGCAGAGTTGGGTCTGGATTTGTGATTCCAGGATGGCTTGGAATCATGTGTCGCGCAATTGTCGCAGGCGGCGCAGAGATGCCCACGGCGTCTCCAAAGATGAGTAGTCTGCCCTGCTGGATGCCGAGCTTGGCAAGCGCCACTTTTTGCGCATGGTCGTGGTCTTTTGTCGGGTGGATGCGATTGAATGCCTCAACACAGGTGCTGAATTGCGAGGCGAGGGAGAAGACGTCAGTCAGCATCTGGGCTTTTGTCTTGGTCCCGGGTGGTTCTGTCGATTCGACATAGTCTGTTGTGGGCTTTGTGGACATGGCGGTTGAGGGCTACCTGTGGCTTCGAGGGAAGGAATGGAAGGGAATGGCAGTGGCAGAGAAGGAGAAAAAGGGCCAGATTAAAGGGGTCTTGGACGAGGGCCTAGACGCTAGCTGGCTACGTCAAGGAGCTGCGGGAAGATAGATGCATCCATCGTAATACATGGCAAGATGCAAATCAAACCAAATATTCACCGCATGTGCGCATGACGTGTGAGCATTTGTCCAGCGTCGAGGTGTGGCGCAGCGGCGTGCATAAAGGGAGCGGGGCTTGCTGAATCGGCAGGCCGTTTATCCTGACTTGGCTTTGCTTGCCCGCCCCCCATTTGCAACCTTGGCCTACGCCCACAGCATTCAAGCATCGGCACGCTCAATGCTAGGTCTCTTGCTGCATTGTCTCTGTGGCTGTACCATAATGTATGCCCAGAACCAGCTCTCGGAAAAATCCCTCAACATTGGCAGTCTACGTCGCGCAAAGCGCCCAGAGAAATTTTCTTAGTAAACTTTGTAGCCATGGCGGGAAATGTGTGCTAGCCTGTTTCGATTATATGCGCATACCTAAGACCTTACCATCTCCACATAGAACAAAACGTGAACTACGTCTAGACTCTAGCTAAATAATAGTTTAATTCTTACTCTTTACACTTCATCTATATTATAAACAAGTTTCTTAGTAAGTTAAACAACTTTTATTATTAACGTGAGCGGCAAGCGAAGCGGCCGGGTAAGCGAAGCGGCCACCTAATTAAGTATTTTATCTTTGTACGTTAATAACTCAACACCACAACATAGTATTGCATTAAGAAGTAGCTTAAATTAATCGTCTACTTCTATTGTATCTTTT